GATCCAGGGAGCAATAAAGGTGGAAAAGCAATCTATTGACATAAAAATGTTTATTTTTTTAATTAGTTTATCAAAATATAAAATGCAAAGAAAAATGAAAATAATACGAAAGTAAGAGAGCAAAGGAAAGGGAAAAAGGTGAAGAGTAAAAGGGGGAAACATTGACTTTTGATTCTTTTTAGTGCATCCAGTAAGTTAACAATGTATATCCTCAATATTTTACTTTTCTATGGTAATATATACTAGCTATTTCTATAACAACAAACCTATCTAATCACCAAAATCCAAAGTCAATGTTTCATTTTTTTTCTTTGCAAAGTCCAGAAGTAGTTTAGAAATAGCAACAATATTCTACTCTAATTTTTGACTCTACCCTATATCCTATTCTAAGTCTCTTATCTTTACTCTACTCTATATTCTACTCTATTCTGCATTCTACTCTCCTCTCCTCTACCCTACTCTACCGTACTGTACCCTACTCTACTCTATATTCTCTCCTCTCCTACTCTAAACTGATCTGTTTGTAATACTGAGTCCAACCAGGAGGGGGCTGCAGAGCGCAAACTATCAACGATTGGGGGAAGTTAAGTTCTGCCGGTTGCTATGGTATCCCCGCCGCGCAGCCGTTGTCACCGAGATAATCTTTCCCCTTGCGCGGAACGCAAATACGCGAGCCGCGGTTTCCGGATGGGACGCTCTAAAAGGGACGGACCGAATTAGGGATTTCCGGGCGGCGTTCCACGCGCAAAGAGCGAGTCCCGGGTAAGTTTGATCCGTGTCGGCGGCGCGTTGTCTGAATGAGAGTTGGGCTTTGGGGGGGGGGGAGAGACGGGGGGCGGCGGTCATGGGAGGGCCCCCAACTTTGAGAGAGCCTTGAGAAATTCGTTGGCTTCGCGAGGGTAGAGGTGGGGCTGTGGGGAATGGCTTTGAGCTGAGCCCCACGGTAGCCCTGGAAACGGAAAGGTGCTGTGGGGAAGGCAAGATGGGCCATGCCGAAAGGGAGGAGCGTTAATAGCAGGCTTTGCCTCTCCCTCCCTCCCTCCCTCCCTCTCTCTCTCTCGTGCGCGTGCACAGTGTATATATATATCTTTCTCTCTCTCTCTTCTGAGTCTGTCTACTCTTTCGTTCTCTAATCTGTATCATCTCTCTGACCTTCTCTCTGTCTCTCTCATTATCTATCTCTTATATCATCTCTCTCTTTTCATCTATATATCCAACTATCATTTATCCATCCATCCATCCATCTCTCTCTCTCTCTCTCATCTATCCATCTATATCCATCTAATTTGTCTCTCTGTCTACTGTCTCTATTTCTAATGTCTGTTTATCTATCTATCTATCTATCATCTATCATCTGTCATCATCCTTATTCTATTCTGTTCTATTCTATTCCATTCTATCATCTCTCTCTCTTCTGTGTCTACTCTTTCATTCTCTAATCAGTATCTATCATTTATCATCTATCAATCATCTCTGTCATTCTGTCTCTCATTCTCATCTATTCTATCATCTTGCTCTCTCTCCATCTATGTATCCAACCATCCCCCCTCTATCACCTATCCATCCATCTCTCTCACCCACCCATCTATCTATCCATCCAATCTGTCTCTGTAATATCTCTCTGTAATGTATCTCTCTAATATATCTGTCTACTGTGTCTCTCATCTCTGTTTCTAATCTCTGTCTCCATCCATCCATCCATCCATCCATCCATCCATCTATCTATCATCTCCATCATTTTGTTAACAATTTTATACAGTATAATTTACGTATAGTTTTATTTCTGTGTACAGAATGTACCTAAAGTCAGACCCCATACAGAATTTATTGTAGAATGTATATGACATGTTCCAGTTGGTTGCCATTTTCTTCTGAACATCACCTTACTCTTTTTGACCTCCGGTCTTTGAATATTCCTAAATATACAGAAATAGTTTCATTTGGGGAGAAAAATAAATATCTTGCCATTGGCCTATAGGGCTGTGTGTATGTGTGTACCAAGCTAAAAAACCTTGGTTTTTTTGAGACAAATCCTATATATATATATGTATAGGTATGTAATTTGATACAAAGGAGAAAAGCCTGGCCTTTGCATGTCTTTCTTAACCTAAGTGTGTTTCCCTCCTCACCCCCAGCATACAAATTGGGACCGTGTAGGATGTTGAATTGGGAAAGGATACGTAAAAGGGGGAGTGAAATTTGCTACTTTATGTTCCTTGTTTATTTCTGAGTTTGCACAGATTAACAGAGTTGGAAGGGTCTTATAGGTCATCTAGTCCACCCCCCTCAAGCTGGAGACCCTACACCATTTCTGACAAATGGCAGTCCAATCTCTTCTTGAAAGTCTCAAGTGATGAANAAAAAAATATAGAAGTAGAACTCTCAAATTCTACTTCAAACAGATAAAGCCGCAGCTCTCTTTTTAAAGTGTATTTTTTGTTTCTTAATCCATTCTTTAAAAAATGAAATGCATTTAAAATGAGAAACTTCTCAAATAATCTGATATCGCTAGGAAATGGATAACTTGGTTTTCATTCAATAAAATGAAAGCCCTTTTCCCAAACTCTCAGACTTAGGTTAATGTTGGCTTATATCACCTTCCTGATCTCTTGTCTACTGACTAGGAAGAGAACCTAGCTTATGCAAGAGATGTTTAATGCATATGTTACCAGCCACATGTGAAAAGCTGACATTGTTTATAGAATGGTCTAGGAACTCTCTAGAACATGGAATGTTTTGTAGACAAAGCATGACATTTCTTTGCTATTTTAATGTGTTGCGTACTTTCTGTATGTAATACCCAACCATTTAAAGGACTATTTAGGCAAAGAATGGAGAGAGGGTCATGAGAAAAGGTTAGGTAAGGTTATTGAAAAAACTTATTGGAAAATGAAAGAAGAAACACACAATAAAGCACAGGACTTCCTTACTAGAAAAAAAACAGAGAAAAAGACCAGTATTAACCTGCTTGTTGCAAGAAAGAAGGCTACAATGGCATTATAGGAGGAATATTTTATATTTGCTGGTTTGCCTTTTGGCATTGCGTAGAATGACTAGAAATGTCTGAAGTATTAAGCATTTCATACTTTGAGGTCCCATTTTTTGGCATTCTATAGGCTTCCTATGGAATTTCACACATTGACAGTAACATATATACATTCAACTGAGTTCTATTTAAATGAATGAATGGGTAGATAGATTAATAGATTGATAGAAGGTAGGTAGTAGGTAGGTAGGTATATGATATGTAGATGATAGGTAGGTAGATGGTAGGTAGATGAGGGTAGGTAGATGGTAGGTAGATGATAGTTTAATAGAGGATTGATAGATAGATAATAGATGATAGGTTGGTAGATGGTAAATAGATGATAGATTGATAGAAAATAGATTGATAGATGATAGGTAGATAGATAGGTAGATAAGTAGGTAAATAGGTAGATGGCAGGTAGATGGTAGATTAATAGATTGATTGAGAGATAATGATAGATANATTTGGAATAGATTTTATGAGTAGTAAGAGAGAAGAGGTAGAAATTAGAGAAAGTTGTATTAGGGACGTTCGTATTGAAAATAGTGATGGTTTAACTCCAACTACTATCACTGTAGCTATAGTGATAACTACAATCATTACAAGTAACAAAAATATAAATAAGTCAACATAAAAAGAAACTCAGTTAAAACTACTTGGTTATAAGCATTATTAGCACATGTGTTATTAAATTATTACTACTATTAGTTTATGTGTTTCCAGTTCTTAAAATTCTGGACCATTTCTGAAGACTTCAAGCCTCAACTTCTCCCATCCACTAGAGGTCAGGTGGAGTGGAGCTTTTCAACCCAATTAAGAGCAGAGACAACTGAAGGTCCATTTGGATGCTCTCGAGGATCCCCAAGCCACTTTGTGGTCCAATCCTGATTCCTTAAGCATCTTTCTGTGTTTCTGTTAACGTTTTTGCCTCAGTCGGGACCCAAAATGAACCCCACCAACTCAGATAAAAAATCAACTTTGGGGCGCCCTATTTCTCCCCACTTTTTTTCCTTTACAGAAGAAGCGTTTCCAGAGGGAGATTTCGGAAAAGTTCATTTTATATGTGAAATAAAGCTTTAGTTTCCTTTCTTCTTTTCCTTTCCTTTTCTTTCTTTCTTTCTTTTTTTAATTTTCCTTTCCTTTCCTTTATTTTCCTTTCCTTTTTCTTCCTTTCCTTTTTCTTCTTTTCCTTTCCTTTATTTTCCTTTTCTTTCCTTTTTTTCTTTTGTAGAAATGTGTCAGTTTTAACCAGTGCGATTGTCGCCCCAGCCTGGGAAAATTGGAATAAGCTACAGGGCTCTGCGGCCCTTTAATTGGCTGGGAATGTTTTAAAAAGCGCAGGAAATTAAACCTGGTTTATTTTTTCGTTTTAATTTTTAATCTTCATTATTTTTTAAAAAAAGAGCAGAAAATCCGGATAGGTGAGGGGAGGGCGTCGAATTCGTTCCATCCCCGGTTTTAGCGGGAAGAGAGCGTGGGGAGGGNTAGAATAGAATTAGGAATAAGAATAGAATAGAATAAGGAATAGGAATAGAATAAGGAATAGGAATAGAATAAGGAATAGGAATAGAATAAGGAATAGGAATAGAATAGAATAAGGAATAGGAATAGAATAGAGAATAAGCAATAGGAATAGACTAGGGATAGGATAGAATAGAATAGAATAGAATAAGGAATAGGACAGGAACAGGAACACAACACAGAATTCTTTATTGGCCAAGTGTGATTGGACATACAAGGAATTTGTTTTTGGTGCATATGCTCTCAGTGTACATAAGGAGAATAAAATACATTCATCAAGAATCATAAGGTACAACATTTAATGATAGTTCTAGCAGGTTATTAAACTCCTGCATTCAAGGAAAGAAATACCATTTCTGGAATAAAAAACAACAGTTAAAGACAGTGACTTGCTTACATTGCAACTTAAGCATACCTGCGTTCTGTGAATGTGTTTAATTATTAAATTTAGGGTGCCAAATTGTTCTACCTTTCTGGAATGGTGCACGGAGACTATCAAAAACAGGAAATCCACAATCTAGGGCGGTTTATCTCTGTGATGAAATTCCGTCCGCTGATTTGGCAGACAACTCATCCCTACGTCTTGGTAGACAGGTAATTTCTTTTATTCCACTTGACCTTCCTGGACTTTCCTCCCTCCCTTCCTTCCTTGATCTTCCTTCCTTCCTTCCTTCCTTCCTTCCTTCCTTCCTCAATTTCTTTATTTTTTTTTTCTTGACTTCCTTTGCTTTCTTGATGTTCCTTCCTTCCTTGACTTTCCTCCCTCTTTTGCTAATAGCATGAAAATAGATTAAAAATGATTCCTGTCCTAGGGTCCAGCAACTTGAGAGGATCTGGGTGAATGTAGATGAGCCTGAAGAAAAGCTCACTTAAATGATAGGGTCCTACAGCAAAATATTCAAAGTTTCAGGTAGTTAGAGGGCGGCTAACTATCAAGAATGATACGTTATAATTATTATTTACTTATAGGCCACCCTTCTCACCAACACGACAACTACTGTGCCAGTTTAGAGTACACAGAATGTTTCCCCTTTCCTTCTAAATATTCTAACCCTGATATTTTTATAATCTGCAGGATGGAAGATTTGACAAACCCAGAGGCAATCAGGGTTAATCCAAAGTGCGACCGGAAAGTTTCCCTTTATGGTTATCTAAGAGGAGCCCACTTGAAAAACAAAAGCCAAATACATATGGCAGGTGGGATAGAAAATTGGAAGGTTTTCCCCCCTCCCCTTTGCTACTATATTTTATCGTCAAATGACAGTGAAGTACCAAATTTTTCGGAGTATAAGACACACTCCCCCTGCCCCAAAAGGAGGGTGAAAATTTGGGTGCACCTTATATACTGAATATAGCCTCGCCCACCTGCCAGCCCCCCCACCCTTCAGCCTCCATGTATCCTCTCAAACGGAGCTTTCAGAGGATGAAAAGGCAAGGCACAGAGCCAAAATGGCAACCTGGAATAAGTGCTGCATTGTTGGACCAGTTCCACGCTTCGCCTGCTGTACTCACTGGAGCACCCTGCAACTATCAGCTGCATTTTTAAAGCTGCGTATCTGCTCCTATGACGCATGTGCGAGTGTCACAACCAGCGAACCTGTTGCTAAAGTTCACCTCCGGGAACAGCTGATTGGGGGTATTCTGGGAGGCCGATCCACCCACCAATCAGCTGCTCGTGCTGAATCAGGCTAATGTGTTGAAGCTGACCAGACTGTTTGCTAAGGACACTAGCCAGCTCAATACCGATGGATGCTAGTAGGCAGAGGTGGAATTTTTTTTCTTATTTTCCTCCCCAAAAACTAAGGTGCGTCTTATACACCGGAGTGACTTATACTCCGAAAAATATGCCAGTTATTGTATGAAATCCAAAGCAAATTACAATAATATCCGTGTTTCCCTGAAAATAAGACCAGGTGTTATATTAATTTTTGCTACAAAAGACACACTAGGGTTTATTTTCCGGTTGGGTCTTACTTTCGGGGAAACAGGGTAACAGTTTTATAATTCCGTGTATGTGTTATGTAACTCAACAGATTATTTATGTTGTGAGGCAGGATAAAGAAATGTTGGTAGCAGGGAGCCAAGGCTTAGAATTAAACTCATTTTGATCAACAATGAAGGTCCCATAGCTTTCTTTGCTTCAGTGATAAATCTGATGCGTAATCTTTCATCTCTGAATCCATTTAAGATTGTGTGGATGTAATCTCGGTCCTTGTCATTTTGATGCCGGTGTGATCTCTTCCCCATCAGGTGTCGGGGATTTCACTATCAGCGATGTCAGCTTCCTGCCAGATCCTTGCGCCCTTCCCGAGCATCAAAAGAAACGAGCCTTAAATGAGAAGGAGAAACTGATTTACGCCCCACTCTCGGGGCTTGGGGGCTTGGTGTACGACAAAGATGCTGTATATATTGACCTTGGGGGAAGCCACTCCCATCGGGGCAGAGAGGTATGGTTTTAGGCTCGGCGCTTAATTTTCTGTTTCTGAATTGCTGTTAATTGTTGACGCATTTGTTGGGAAGCACCCCAGCCTGGCAGGGAGGAGGGATCAAGCCCAGTGTTAGCCTGGAGTCAGTGCTTAACCACAAGAGGGTGGGAACTTGAGCACCCCTGAGTACCCTGGAGTCTCATCTATTTGTTCCCAAGGCAAGGCTGGGAAGATTCCTGTATTATAGGCAGAAGGCAATAAAGTAGTTAGCCTGCACTCCGCATGTGTGTGTCAAGATTGAAAAACACTTAAGCTTCATGTGATTATTATTGCTTTTCAACTTGCCAACAAACTGGGAGGGGAGTTTGAGCTGGAATGCGGAGGCTACAATCTTCAACTGTGAGAGCCAAGGACCCTTCTGTAGATGTCAGCCAAGAAGTGGAGTGTTCTTGAAACAAAAGGCTGATTCCCAATTGGACAATGGGAATCCTGTTCCATGGGAGAAAGGGAGGAAACTTGTATTTAACTATGCAGGACTGGGCAGAAAAATTTTGAGTTGGTTTTGCTTTTCTTCATTGCTGAAATGCCATACTCAATAAAGTTTTGCTTTTGGGATTTTAAAGTTCCTGAAAAGTTCCTGCTTTTATTGGGTCCGTTAGTCGGACAGTTGACACAGTGGTTGCTTGCACCTGACAGCAGTTAGCAATAACATTTAGGTTTATATTCCACTGCATAATGCTTTAGAGCCCCCCCTGAGTGGCTTACAAAGTAGAGCATTATTTGCATAATGCCCCCAACAATCTGGGCCCTCATTTTACTGACCTTAGAAGGATGGAAGGCTGAGCCCACCCTGAGCCTCATCAGGATCAAACTCCAGCCTGTGGGCAGAGTTTGCCTGCAAATTCTGCCATGGTGTTGCAGTGGTTAGAATGCAGTATTGTAGGCTAATTCTTCCCACTGCCATAAATTCAATCCTGACCGGCTCAAGGTTGACTCAACTTTCCATAATTTCTGAGGTTGGTAAAATGAGGCTTGGGGTGGTTCAGTGGTTAGAGAGCAGTACTGTGGGCTCCTTCTGACTGCCAGCTGACTGCAATTTGGCAGTTCAAACCTCACCAGGCTCAAGGTTGACTCAGCCTTCAATCCTTCTGAGGTGGGTAAAATGAGGACCTAAATTGTTGGTGGCAATATGCTGACTCTTTAAACCGGTTAGAGAGGGCTGTAAAGCACTGTGAAGCGTTATATAAGTTTTAAGTGCTATTGCTAATATTGCATTTTAACCACTGTGCCATAAGGGCTCAATTACTTGATGGCTGTCCTCATTTTGTTTTGAAAATAAAAGGCTTTAACTAATCCCCTATTTTTTGAACTAAGCTGGTGATAGCAGAGATTCTCAAGATTAGATTAGCCTCTGTAGTTTTTGTCTAATATAGGACTTTGCCAATTGGTTGAAAAGCAGTTTTATTTTAATCTTTAAAAGTCTGGTTGGCCTTTGGGATGTCCCTCTGCGCCGCCTTTTGCACTCCCTGAAATATTCAGTGATTCTTGGCAGGCTGCTAAGAAGTGCTGTGATAAATACCTTAATTAAACAGACCTTAGAAAAGGGTCCTAGAAAAGTGGGACATGGTGGCTCAGTGGTTAAGACGCTTGTCGATCAAACAGGTCTGCAGTTTGGTGGTTCGAATCCCTAGCTCCGCGTAACAGAGTGAGCTCATGTTGTCTCAGCTTCTGCCAACCTAACAGTTGGAAAGCACGTAAAAAATGCAAGTAGAAAAATAGGGAGCACATTTGGTGGAAAGATAACAGTGTTCCATGCACCTTCGGCGTTTAGTCATGCTGGCCACATGACCACAGAGACGTCTTTGGACAGCCCTGGCTCTTCAGCTTTGAAACGGAGATGAGCAGCGCCCCCTAGAGTTGGGAATGACTAGTAATAATGATATTTGCAAGGGGAACCTTTACCTTTTTAGAAAAGGGTGACTGACATGCTATTTATTTGTCAGGAGCAAGAAAGACCAAACCACGAGCTCGTCCAGACTCTCATCTCGGCACACTCCACCATTGATGCCAAGATGGCTTCCAGCAAAGTCTCTCTCTTCATGGACTCCAAGCCTTTAGACATGGAGGATGTTGAAAATGAGAGGTAAGCAAGTAGGTTCATGCACAATCTTTCAGAAATTGTGGGTGCGTCATCACCAGAGGTTTTTAAGAAGAAACTGGACAGCCACCTGTCTCAAATGGTGTAGGGTCTCCTGCTTGAACAGGGGGTTGGGCTAGACTTCTAGGTCTCTTGCAGCTGTAGTCTGAATTGAAAATTGAAAAGTTGTCAATTGTAGCAATAGCATTTAGACTTATATGCCACTTCACAGCACTCTCGAAGGGGTTTGGAGAGTCAGTGCATTTCCCCCAACAATCTGAATTCTCCTTTTACCCACTTCAGAAGGATGGAAAGCAGAGTCAGTTGCAATACCGCTTAGACTTGTATACCGCTTCACAGTGCTTTTACCCAGCTCCTCTCGAAGCGGTTTACAGAGTCAGCCTATTGCCCCCAACAAACTGGGTCCTCGTTTTACCAACCTCGGAAGGATAAGTCAATAGCAATAGACTTATATACCGCTTTATAGTGTTTTTTCAGCCCTCTCAACGCAGTATACAGAGTCAGCATATTGCCCCCAACAATCTGGATCCTCCTTTTAGTGGCCTCGGAAGGATGAGTCAATAACAATAGACTTATATACCGCTTTATAGTGCTTTTTCAGCCCTCTCAACACAGTATACCGAGTCAGCCTATTGCCCTCAACAATCTAGGTCCTCCTTTTAGTGGCCTCGGAAGGATGAGTCAATAGCAATAGACTTATATACCGCTTTATAGTGCTTTTTCAGCCCTCTCAACGCAGTATACAGAATCAGCATATTGCCCCCAACAATCTGGGTCCTCATTTTACTACCTTAAAAGGATGGGAGGCTGAGTCAATAGCAACAACAGTAGCCCTTATACTTCACAGTGCTTTTACACAGCCCCTCTCTAAGTGGTTTACAGAGTCAACCTATTTCCCCCAGCATCCAAGAAGCTTTTCCAGCTCTGACTGAATATCTTGAGAGCAAAAGCATAAAGTCCAGTTGCCCCTTGAAAAAGCACCGTTGGGATAACCATGACTTGGATGACTGGGAATCCCCCACAGACAAATTAAGGAGGAACTTCTTAATCAGTGAGAACTATTAATCAGTGGAACGGCTTGCCTCCAGAGATTGTGGGTGCTCCATCACTGGAGACTTTTAAGAAAAGACTGGACAACCATTTGCCTGGAATAGTATAGGGTCTCCTGCTTGAGCAGAGGATTGGACTAGAAGACCTCCAAGGTCCATTCCAGCTCTATTCTAATCGATTGATTGAAATCGNAATTTAAGGTGGTTCTGACAAGTGTCGTCGGCATCTTCATATCCGGTCCCATGGGCGGCAAGCCACTCCCATCCGGTCACATGGGTGGCAAGCCACTCCCACAAAGGAGGCCAAACCCACAGAGTAGGTTCGAACTATTTTTGAAACCCACCACTGCTTGATGCTGACCCTGACTCTCACACTCCCTCCTCATGCTAGAGTTGGCAACAGCCGGCAAGCCACAACAGAACTTTTAAGATGTGTGGATTTCAACTCCACACATTTTGCAGTTGCTGAGGTCGGCAAACCCCGTTTGAGTGTACGCTTTCCAGGCCTGGAAACGCTAATCTCCAAATGAGGCGGGATATTGGAGGGAGGCTGGGTGCAGGATAGAGAAGTGGCATTTCGCCTCCCATTTAACAATTGCTTGCCTCAGAATCCAATAAACTCAAAATGTCCTTTAAATCAAACCCCGGTGCCTGGTGATGTCAGAGACGGCAAGGCTGCAAATGAAATCATGGGCTGGGAGAAAATGAAGGTGGGTAGGTCAAACTGATGTGATAACGAGGATGGAAAATTGATTTATTAGGAAACCCTTCTGTAAAGATGTTTTATTCCCCAGCTCTGATCTCCCCACCTTTTGAGACAAAGCTAATCCTTTTAGGAGGGATTAGGAGCAGAAAGAGATCCGCTGCAAACTCTTTCGATTAAACTTTTGAGGGTTCACGGCTGATCTGGCAGAGAAATCAACCTTTTCAAAGTCCTGGCGACGATTTGGTGTCATGATAACGCAAGATTTTTTTTATTAAAAAGAATGGCTATAAATAGGATGGATAGAGAGTGAGAAATGGGAACGGTTATTGCTATTAAACATTCCTTTAGTAAAGATTCCTCTTGCTATGATTAGTTGGTTTTAATATTTAAGGCTGACAGTTTGAAATCAGTGGCCTCTGTTGCATAAAATAGCACAAGAAGAAATAGGGAGGGGGAAAATTATATCTCCCAGGGAGGGTTATTGTGATGATGATTTATTAAATGTGCACGCCACCTGACTTGCAATGGCTCTAATAACCGTGGCACGACAAAACCGTGGTCCACTAAAGCGCGCCCGATTAAAGCGCGTCGCTGACGTCATCAGCAGCACAACAACAACAACAACCGCGGAGAAAAAAGGGCACTTTAAAAAGCGCTTTGAAAGCAAGCCGATTCACGTTAAGGTAAGGGTTAGGGTTAGGGTTAGGGTTAGGTTAAGCGTTAGGGTTAGGTTTAGGGTTAGGTTTAGGGGTTAATTTTAGCTTTAGTGCTCACAGCGTGCTTTTTTCGTCGCACTGTGATGACATCAGGTACGCGGTTTCGTCGAGCGCGCTTTAGTCCACCGCGGTTTTGTGGTGGAACCCTAATAACTAGAGGTGAGCATCCTAGAGATTCAGAAACAAGGAAGTCCCGTGGCCTCCAGAAAAAGCACCTTTGGGTTGACAGCAGCAGTGATTCGCTTAACCAAGTGCCCCCCCCCAAAATGTAGCAAAATCAGGAACAACTCACTTAAACTTGCTTAGTGATGGAAATTGTGCTCCCGATGGTGATTGGAAGTTGAGATCTACCTGTAAGATGATTTTTCCTTTCGTGAAGATGGAGAATTTCAGTAGCGCTTTGTTTTAAATAAAGAGCTTTACACGGTCGGACCGCTGGGCTTTTTCACTTAATAACAATTCAGAGAGGTGGTTAAAAATGGTCCAGTTTGTGGCCACAAGGTTGCCATCAAAGTGTTCTGACCTAGGCATCCCGAGAGCATCCTTGTCCCGACCAAAACCCCTTTTATTAATTGACTTTGAATTCTGCTCATTCACATCCAGTGAAGTCTTTCAAGGGAGGATTTACAGTCACCGACCTTATCTGGCTTGGAGAGTTGCCAGGCCGATCTCTGCAAAACTTGGCAAGGAGTTTGGGAGAGTCACGAACCGATGAAGCGAATTGTCTCCTGCAAACTCCACTCCCTTTTCGCTCCTCTTTTATTTCCTCTGGGAGGGGCCATTCATCGTCCACCTGTGGCCTTACTCCCAAGCCAACCCCTGTTCTTTAGCTGTTCCCTTCGTCTGGCAACTCTACGCATGCGCACACTGGGAACAGGCTCCAGTTGTTCATCTGCCTCACTGACGTCTGACTCTGAAGGCAGCTGATAACTGGCATACGGCTCTGGCCCCCACTCTGCCTCCGACACAGAGCCCTCACCAGAGCTTTCCCCAGACTCCAGGACTGGCCCATGTTCCTTCCCAACCTCCTCATTGCATGCTACAACACAAAGCTCTAATTTTGAGATGCTCCACGTTGGCCAAGCCAGATATGTGGGATTATCATATTATTATAGAGCCGAGGTGGCGCAGTGGTTAAATGCAGCACTGCAGGCTACTTCAGCTGACTGCAATTCTGCAGTTTGGCTGTTTAAATCTCACCGGCTCAGGATTGACTCAGCCTTCCATCCTTCCGAGGTGGGCAAAATGAGGACCCGGATCGTTGTTGGGGGCAATATGCTGACTCTGTAAACCGCTTAGAGAGGGCTGAAAGCCCTATGAAGCGGTATATAAGTCTGCTATTGCTATTGCTATCAACAGCTGTCATTTGTCACCAGCAATGTCCAAGCCACCCACGCTGCAAATCATAGCTCATTTGAAGATGGCCTTTTTTGAGGATGATTTTCATCCCAAGGTTTGCCCAGGTCTTATCTGAAAATGTCAGGAACTGCATCAAAACGGGCCTTGTGCCTGCAGAAGGTCTTCTTGACATGTCAACTGTGATCAAGCTGGCGTAGAAAAACCCTAAACCACTTGCAAGGCCGTTGCGATGCACCGATAGCTTAACCGTCACTTCTCTCTTGTTCTGCACAATCTCCCTGCTGGAGCTTTCTTCCTTTCCCCTTGTGGCATTCCCAGATAGCATTTAAAACATTTTGCAAAACAAAAGTGCCCCCTGCTGGCTACATGGAGGAAAAGATCCAACCTCCAAGGCTTCCGGCCAAGTTTGCAAGCCCCCCCAACTCAACAATTATTGTGATACCATGTTTTACAACGTGAATATTCAAGATTATGGCTAATAACTGGGGATTTAATGACTTCCCAACAGATCAGCCTTCCTCCTACAAAAGCTATATTGCCACCAATACACCCATTTCATTTTCATGTGGTATTTTAGGTCTTCAAAGCAGATTTTCCAATGTTGGGGTTCTCAGTTAAAATGATCCATGAGAAGCTTGCTTTGTCTGTCTGTCTATCTAATTTATCTATGTATCTATTTATCATCTATCATATCTATTTATTTATCTTGTATGNTCTCTCTCTCTCTCTCTCTCTCTCTCTCTCTCTCTCTCTCTCTCCCTCTCTTTCTGTCTGTGTGTCTGTGTGTCTGTGTGTCTGTGTGTCTGTGTGTCTCTGTGTGTGTTGTTTTTGTGCATTCCTTTGAGTCAGTGTTGACTCCTGGAAACCATCCAGACCAGACAAGCCTCTGAAGTTTTCTTGGCAAAATTTTCAGACGTGGCTTTCCATTGTTTCCTTTCTAGGGCTGAGAAAAAGTGACTGGCCCAAGGTAGGACTTGAACTCACATCTCCTGGCTTCTAGCTTGAAGCTTTCAGCACGACACCAAACTGGCTGTCCATAATTCAATAGCTAAAGGTAA